AAGTATTAGCAGCTCCACTGAAATCCTGCCTGGCAGGGTTGGTTTGTCTGTATGAAAACATGTCAGTCTCTGTACAGGATATAGGACTTTTACAGACACCACATTTCCAGATAATTGCAAAAATTAACTGCAGGCAGTCTTTTCAGGATGCAACATGCTCTGTGTATTTCTTTAATGCTATCTTTCTTTTTATTTAATTCTGCTCAGTGTTTCAGCCATTTTGACTCCAGCAGACACGATAACATTCTCCTAACATCCCACTGCATATCATCACTAATTTGTTTTTCCTATGTGGCATAGCTCCTTACAACTGTAATACCCAGTATACACACACACAGTGATAGTCACAAATGCTGCCTTAAGGAATTTGACATGGCCATGGACAGAACGAGAATTGCGTAATTATCACCCAAAAATATGAATCACAGCATTCATCTCCTGCGCATTTATATTGACATTAAATATATGTGCTGTTTGAAATAAAGGCTAGTAAAGAAAGAACATAAAAAAAATCTCCATTTCACAATGCAAAAGGAACAGTACAAAAGTCTGCGGGACTCTAGATTAATAAAGTTCTGCAAAATGGATTGTTGATTTGGAAATGATAGTTTCTTTATTTCCTCATTTTTGTGTTCTGTAATGAGAATCCTCCAAACTTCAGTTTCCAGTTGTACACAGGAGTATTTCTGTTTGTATCATGGGATACGTTCTCTTCTCTTCAATAGATGGAATTGTGATTTCCATCCATTGTCATAATCCATTCCGCCCCTTCCCACCTCATCCTTCCCCCCCGCCCCCTGCTTTAATGGAATTATATATGATTCTTTACTTTTTTCCATGGATAGTCTTGCTGTGATTTAAGTTTTTTTTATATCAATTAGGTGGCCTCTCAGAACCCTGGCTGAAATCTGGCTTCAGTTTGTAATATAATCATTAAATGTAAGTTGTGAATATATTCATGTAAAAGGCCTGTTAATTCAAACTGCAAATTCAGTGGACTTGAGGAAATAATGAGACCTAGATGAGGAGAGTTTTGTCTGCAAACATATTCTAAATAAATCTAGAACATATTTCCACTTGAAACTTTGCATCTGAAAACAAAATACATTGAGGGTGTTTTAAGATGCTACAAAACCACTCGTATTTCTTAGCATCTTGACAAAAGTTTGGGACACAGCATCTAGCTATGATGAATTTTCCTTTGAGCATAGACAGAAAATCAAACTCGCGTCAGGTGACCCATTTAAAATAGTGTTCCAGCACTTGAAGGTCATATAATTCCAGGGACTCCTGCTAGGGAGTTGGCTCCTAGTACTCTTTATGCCTTGCATGGGAAGGTTGTTAGTAGCCCATCTTCCTCTTCCAGCTGTGTCTATATTGTGCACAAATGCACGTTCCATTAACTGGATGGGGAGGAGGACTGGGGAATGAAATGAGGGGGATATGGTCTACAATATATGTTTCAGATACAAGATAGAGTTGTGCGTGAGCAGTAAATAGCAATAGAGGGGAGCCTGCAAAATATTACAGTGGGTTTGTGATAAAGAGAGAAGGCTTAAATCATGGTTGTCCTAAGGGAAAAGCAGGGATTCTAGCTCTACATTATTTGCCTCCAGATTATGGAGGAGTGTCACATGAGTGGGCAGATGTCTCGTGCTTTGCAATGTTTGTGCTTAGTATTTTTTAGCAAGAATTGTATTGTTTTGTTCATCTAGGGGAGAGTGGGTAGTTTGAGAGATGCTCTCAGTCACTTCACCTGTGGCTGGCTGGTGCTGTCAAGTTTATGTCATTCTTTTTACTGTCCATATTTTTTCCTACCTGGTTAGTCAGTGTAAGTACTCCTTGGTGAAGCTGGTATGTTTAAATGTTTATGAAGTCTGTTTCCCTTTAAATCCTCTGCAGAACAGAATATTCCTTTCTTCACTCTGAATACAAAATTTGGAAGCTGTATGCATCCCCCAGGGAAGTGCTTGGCAGATGTTGGGAGTGCTTGGGTACAGCCCAGGGCTAGATTTTTAAAAGCATCACAACATTTGTATTAATGTTTTTGTAAATGTGAATGTGCAAGTCTTTAATTAGCATTTTTAGAGGAAGAAACAGTGACAAGGCTAACACAGGTGTATAGAAAATAATAACAAAGAGCAGTATAATAGTGAGGATAGAATAAATGCAAAATGAGCTATAAAACAAGTCCTGGAAAAGGCCATATTAATTAATGCAAGGCTTTTTGTCACAATTAGATAAAATGTGGAGCAATTGTATATTAATAAAATAACATAAATTAACCAACAACAATTTTTCCGGTTGTAATGTAAATTAAATATTTAGAGGTAGTTAAATATTTACATCATTATCAGCAGCTGTTCTGATAAAGGAGAATGCAAAGTCATGTTCAATAATGAAGTCTACATGTAAGCACTAAGTGAAGTGTGTTGTTTCTGGTACAGTCTTGTAATGGAAAGGAACTGTCTGTAGGCTAGACCCAAGCGTGTAACATGCATTAGTGATTCAACTTTTCATCATAGGGACAGTTTTTTCCTCCCCTTCCATAGATAACCTCTGCCGCTTCACCAATGTAAGTCGCATAAGTATGTAGTGACAACGGGTTAGCTTTGATGTGTAATTCTCCACAGGTAGCCCTATATGTCCAGTTTATCAGCATGTGCTGTATTATTTCGGGGAGGGGGTGGAGGGACAAGGGGCAGTGCTTATTTGCAGTCTACAGGTGTAGTTGAAAGTCATATTGCACAGCTTACTATTGTTTGCAAAGAGAGATGCTCTGCAACAAGGTGGAATTTTTAGTGCTGAGATTGCTGCTGTGTTGTTATGGGTCACAGGACAGATCTTCAGAATGTCAGCTGTTAATGATTTGATTTTCAGCTAATGTTAGGGCTTGGAGCTATTGATTTGCAGCGGCCATGCGGCTAGCACTGAATTCTGTATGAAATAAATAGAGGAAGGGGGGACAGGGTTGAGTTTTGTTCTCCTCTGTATTAAAAAACTTTGAATTATATGATCTGAGCTTGTAAATCAGATTTTTTACATGGCACTTAAATGGACATTTATTCAAAAAGATGAAGTTTTTGCCCATCATTCTTTTGTTTTAAGGTATACCATATTTTTAAGGTCTGTTACAGATTTTCTATTTTAAATGAAGAAGAAATGTTTTAGCACTTATGGTGGAATATCTGGAACCTTTAATACCAGATGGCTAAACCAGATTAAATTCCATTGTCAAAGTTATCTGTTCATACACTGATATTTTTACACTGTAAGAAAACTAAACATAAAAAATCCAGCAACCTAATTGTAAGGTCCTACTGTTTTCCAGGAGCTCAGCGCGATGCAGAAGTTGCACTGCACACAAATTGACAAAATAGTGGCACAATATGATAAAGAAAAGGTATCATATGAGAAAATGTTAGAGAAGGCAATCAAGAAGAAGGGGTAAGATACTATTTTAAATTTTTTTTCAGATTTAAAATAGATTTTATGCTTTTATAGTCTGGAATAAAACATTCATTAAAAGGTCATTCAGATGAATGAATTGCAGCTTGAACCAGCATCCTATGTCAAACCGAGTATGAGCTGCCTGAAGGCTCTAGCAGTGGGCCATAAATGTTGTACTCACTTTTCCTTTCTCTAGGCTTCTTTGATTAGAGTTTTAAAAGTAAAAGCCAAGGAGTTGTCTCAAATTTTTATTTCTGTGGTCTGATCTGGTCTCACTGCATTCCCCAGGGAATGTCATTGTTGTGTTCAGCGAGAACAGACTAAGGTTCTCAATAGCTCTAATGATCAGAAAGTAGCAATGATTTGATTGTGGGGGAAAAGCTGGCTCCAAATCCTGAACATTTTAGAATAACAGAGTTTTGCTGTGCTGTCAAGTTTTAACAAAAAAACCTTCAGATCCTTAGCTGGGATAAGTCAGTATTACTCCTTTCACTTGAATGAAGCTGTTTTGGTTTGCACTAGCTGATGGCTTGAGACATTATCTGTGTGAATCTCTTAATTCTCCCAGAAGAGTTCCTGGAAGATACTGGTGACTTTAATAAAATGTCCCCATTACAGTCCCATTTGGAATTATGTAGCAAGACCTGTTGTTTCCTTGCTGTTACTGTGTAATCTGGCAGCAGTTTCTCCTCTCCACCTTTCACCCTATGACCAGCATTTCATTGAGACAGTGGTTTATACTATAATACTTCCTAAAGCAGGAATTACTTTATTTAGTTCTATATCAAGCTATGCTAATAGTCTTAATTTTGTATAGTTGTCATCTGGCAACAAAAACTGTCAGGCAGCTCTCTCGATGAATACTGAGCATAGATGCCCCTTTGGCATTGGATTCTTCCACAAATACTTTTTTAAAATAAATGATTTGGAATGGCAGTGGTTTTTGTGCATGTTATAAACTTGTAATGCAACAGAAATAGAACTGTCGGAAATGAACAAGATAAGGAGACTTCTCTTGACTGAATTATTAAAAGCTCACAAACTCTTTAAAAAACTCATGTTGGTTTATTTGTCCAAGAAAGGAAAACTGTAAGCATCCAAATACTTCTAATCCAAGTAGTTCCTTCCAGAAAATTACAACTTCTCCAAAGAGGGAGCAACTACAGGACTAATTAATTTAATGTGGCTTTGATTCAATTTCCACTGAATATAATGCAGTGGAAGGTTATTGATATAGCTGGATTTATAATTACAGTCAAGGAGTTTCCTACTGTGGTAGTGAACTAAGCCCTGGACATTGCACCATAATTATCATGGGGGGACAAAGGCTTCCCCATGCTCTGGTATTTAAGAAGCTCATATCAGAAGAGTCATGAATCAGTATTCCTATCAGCCTGAGCAGAAGCCAGTGCCTCTGCCTGTCTAGGCAGCAAATAAAGGTGTGTCAGAGTGTTAAAGGTGGTAATGGCTGTCTCTGTGCAGTAAGTAGTGGAAAGTGCTGAGTAACAATACTTTCCAGAGTAACGTCAAATAGGACAAGTATAAAAGTAGTTGATAATTTTGATTCCCAGTTTGAGATCACTGCACAGGCTATTTGCAGTGTCTTTTCTTAATTTTATAACACTTCTCTCATGTCAAAGCCTTTATGATAGTTGTAAATTATCATTAAAAAAAAAAAAAGGTGGAAATGACTACTCCAGAAGCAGATCCAATACACAGCCAAACACTGTTGCTTGCCATGATGTCATACTTTCCATGGACACCAGAGGTCTCGGTCATCTGGTGGCTCTTCAGTGTTACAAGAATAACTATTGGTATCAATAATTACCAGACAAATCAAATCCAGTATCAGCACAGACTTTCTGTGAAAATGCTTCTTCATTTTGTATCAAAGTGTTTTAAGGGCTTCCTTCAGGGTCATTGTGTATGCAGTCCTCAAAGCCCATTCAGCAAGACGCTTATGTGCACACTTCTCTTCACCCCATCTCTGCAGTACATTTAAGGACATGCTTAAGGTTGAACACATTGATTGAGATGTAAAGAATTTATTCAGCTGAAATGATCTGATGAAGAAGGCATCCTGGGTTCAATGAGAACAGGACATGCTCCGTTTCCTTGGCTGTCATTTCGGAACTTTTACAAGCAATAAAAGTTGTAAAAGAACATGTGAAATGTGTTTTCAAGGCATTCACATTGAAATTGTCAGCTACTTCCTGAAAAAAAAGGTTTTTTGATAGGTGTATATCTCTTCTGATTTTGTTGTGCACTTTTTCATGGTCCATTTCTGCCATGTGGTGTGACAAATGTCAACTGCATATTGTTCAGCAAAGGAGAATTTTTTAATCACATGCTAATTCACTGACAGATGGACAGGATTTTGCTCCCTGTGCTATTTCTGTTGTACACTTCAAATGCTTACAAATCTCAAGAGAGGCTTATGCTCATGTTCCCACTCTGAAATGGAGTTGAAGGCACATAAAGATCCTTCTGATTTATCTTGACTGTCCAGAAATTCAAGTGTATGTGTATGCGTGAGCATGGACATGTGACATTGGGTTGGGCTGTCCCTGAGTCATTTGTTCCCAACTGTGACTCGATGGTTTAACCCTGGAGTATGCCACTGCAGCTGAGGACAATCCTTGTTATGTCCAGCCTGGCTGGAAGTTGCCTTGAGATATAATGAAAGCTGCATTTCCAGATCAGGGATCAGCTGGTGGTTTTTGATGACTGGGATTCTAAGAAGTCTAGTGATTGAACCAATTAGGCTAATCCGGGACAAAATATGTTTGATTCACCTAAGGAGCAGTCTCTTTCATAGAATATGACAAATTATATATGAATTATAGCCAGACTCTGATCACAGCTACCCACATGCATAATCAAAGACACTTTCTTTGCAGCTGTGTCTTTTTTTCAGGAAGAGGTAGCAGTGGTCAGAACCTGTCTCAGTGGCTTTATATTACTTCCAAAGTGTCAAATGAGTGTTAGAAATCTCTGAAAAAAATTCCTTGCTATGACTAGAAAATAAATGACTATTCCTTCTGATGGCCCTTGGTAACACAAGGCACATCATGCTACCATTTTCAGTAAGGGCTTTCCTGGTGCTGTTTGATGATAAAGTTTTCTGCTAATTTCCATAAGTTTAGAAGTACTTTGATATTAAAATAGGATTTAAACTTGTTAAGGGTTTCATAAATCTCTTTTTCTAGAGCAAACGGATTAATGTTACTGCAGTCAAGCAATAACCATTCTTATTAGGGCCACTTTCAGATGATAAAAATAATGTGGCTCCATACACTCAGTGGAGTTACACCATTTTACATCAGTTGATGATCTGACACAGAAATATTGTGGTAATGTTAAAATAGGCTCCTCTCAATATATTCTTCCAAACCAAAAAAACCAGCGTCTTCCCATGTGTGAATTTGTATTCTATTGTAAAAACCCATCACTGAAAAAAAAAAAAAAAGGGGGGGGGGAAGATTTGTAAAGATGAAGCTTGTCAACCTTCAAAAATTCAGTGAGACAGTAATTGAAATTCCTCTTGTAACTGCAAAGGAATAGTTTTTCTGTGCATTTGTCCCACCCAGTAATTACCCAAGTAATTGGGCTTAGTGAAGGAAATTCTGTGGGTGAGAGGTAGAAGTCATCCATCTCCTAACCCACAGGCATGTCAGGGGAGCTTCAGCGTGGGTCCTCTGCAGGCATTTGACCAGCCTGTTCCTTGGAATCATGCACTGCTCCCGCATTAAGCAAACTTGGCAACTTGCATTCAGCCACAAACCTTTACCCAAACGCAAAGGCCATGCTGTATTCAGTTTACTGCAGGAGTGAAGGCCATCTTCAAGATTTGTTGATTTGTCACTTTCTAAGTCATATAAGGTATCTAATGGCTCGGATTCCTCTACATGGCTTGGTGTGATCTACAAGGGTCATGAGGCCCCTTTCTTTGCAACCCATTCACTTCTGCTTTCTCACCAAGGGGCTCTTACACTTTCAATAGGTGTTCAAATTTAGTATGCCCAAATTGCCCTGAGAGGTAGTTACTCAAATGACTTATTTTTTCTGCCTCAAACTAAAAAATGAGTAGCAAAAATTGCTTTTAAAGCAGAGGATAAAAATATGGCAAGGCAATGAATATACCTGTAAGTTTTCAGGCAGAAGCTGGTTTCTCTTGGCAAAGTATTTTAAGCCTGGAAAAGGAACCAAGTACCGTAAATGGAGATGCTTGACATGTCTTCAGCAACAGAATAATTGCTGGGACAATCTAGAATTAATTGTGTGGTGTTTGAATTGAATGATCATTACTCCAACAATATTTTGTAAGTCGTGAATTTCATTCCAATATGCTACAGCACTTCAACTTTGATTAACATTTTAATTAAAGAGCTGACTGAGTGGGAAGATGTTTAACTTGTGGCACACATTTGCAATTTTCTTTTTTTTAGAGGAAGTAATTGTCTTGAGTTGAAGAAAGACACAGAAATTAAAATTCAGACGCTAACATCAGATCACAAATCTAAGGTAAGCAAACAGCCAGTTTTAACATATGCAACAACTGAAATTTTGAGACCCAAGTGGTAGTTAATTTTCTTGGAAGCATATGAATTATTTTCAGCAGTAATAACATGTTGAAAAGAATAAGAGTAATTGAGTGTCTAAAAGTGTTTCTTAAAAAAAATTTTTAAAAGCAAGGTCAATTTCCTGCCCTTTTAAAATTATTGAAGAAAGTGCCATATTCATGCCTTATGAAGCTAAATTTGTCATTTGTGTCAGCTCTAGCTAAACAAAGAAACAAATACATTCTATATGAAATTTGGAAGCTAAATACTTTCTCAAAATATATACATACAGAACTTTCATTTTCTTTCATTGTCACCATGGACAACACTTGCTAGTCTGTCTCGTAGGGAAGGAGGAGTCCAAGTTGCTCAGAACCAAGTGCCTTCTGATTGCTAATATTTTTTCTCCATTGCTCAGTTGTGTTGTTTTCTCTTAGGTACTGCAGAATAAAAGTGCTCTGAAACTGAGCCTCAGTTCATTTGAAAAAGCTATTCTCAAGCTGTGATTCATGGCTCACATTGAGTTGCTTAGAGCTGCTTCCTCTATACTTCTGTACCACTACTGTGCTCACTGACTTCATATTTCCATTGGAAGTTTTATCTACCACATGTTTACATGCTTTCAAGTTTCTGAAAGATATCCAAACTAGAGGGTGGCAGGTACGCTAGAAAACACATCCATGTACAAAGTGGTCTGGAGGGAGAATCAGGAGACTGTCCACAGTACAGGAGAGTTACTGTAAAAGCTGAAACCTGTGAAAAGAATCAGACAAGTATAGAAAATACAAACAAAAAGCAGCCACATCTTTGAGACTATAATAAGGTCAATTTCATCTTTTCTTCTCCTAATTTTATTTATGGTATTTGTTATTTCATGTGGAGAAGATCCTGTTTTTCTAAACAAGGTTTCTTTCTTGTTGCTGTCTGCTCAGCCAAAGATGTAGGAAAATCCCCAGGAATAAAGCCTAGTGTACTGTCTTATCTCCCTATCTCCTTCTCCTATGAAAAATCCAGAACCATTTCATTAAATAAAAGCAAATTTGTTGACAACTTTAAAAAAAAACATAGTTCATTCATTTCTTACTGAGGAGCACTAGCTCCCTCTCATCCAGACATAAGCCCCAAAACTCATTTGAAGTTACATTGTATAGAAAATTCTTTGCTGTGATCTCTGCATCTCACCTGTGTCATTCGCAGTCTGGAGTTAAGAGGTGTTCATTAATCTTCCAAATCCAATAAATGTGACTCATGTTTTCCCTTTCCACAAATGTATGCAGTTTCTGAGCTCTGTTTCTTTTAAAATCCTGCTTTTAAACTGGTTCCCTTCAATTTAATCCATACCTGGAAAATGGATTGATTTTTGTCCACTCCTATGTCAGGTTTTAGGATGACATTTTCAAAGGAGTATTAAATGTAAGCTCCCTTGAAATGCCAAGCCTCTCTGTGTTGGATAATTCTTGAGGAACTCCCCTGCAAGTCATCTGCCTCTGTAGTTTTCTCTAGGTCAGTGATTTTCAATATCTTGGTCACTGTGATTCCATCAAAATTGTCTAAATTATGTACCGATTTTAGCATCTCACAGACTTTGTTTCAATTGCTGTGTGTGGGTTGTTGACTTAGTATTCCTGGCGATCATTCAAAGGTTTGCAAGCAAGAGGTTGGAAAACAGTGCTCAAGACCATAGGGAAATTAACTTTTCTCCTAGATGAAGACAGGTGCAATTAAATTAGATTAAATTCTGAGGTGCTGAATGCATTACACTGATACAGTGGGAGTTTGATTAATGAACAGTTGTTCAGCATTTTTCATCATTTGGCCCACAAATGTTGATATCAGATTGTACCATAATTCAGCTTTAATTACAGCTCATGTCCTCCAGCGAAGCTCTGTGACACAATGTGCTTGTATGCTTTTAGCACCAAAGAGACCTTCTTGTCTACAGAAGTCTTCCTCTCATGAGGAAACATGCAGCCCAAGTTTGGTATAAAATATTTAAATTAGATCTGAATGTCGCAATGTGTACTTTACAGACAAATAACCTATGAGACGCAAATTACTCCCCTGCACTAGAAAAGTAGGTTCCCGGATCAAGCAGGCAGAGGATGAAAAGCAAAAAAGGAAAGATTGCTTCAAAGATTATTCCTGCTTGAACTTAGCAACTAAACAAACATCTTGCATATATGCAGTGCAAAAGAAATTTTCTTATCAAGATTTTAATTAGTCTCTTAGGCCTGGTGTAGGAATAGATGAAAGGACAGGATTGCAAACACAGTCTGTAGAAAAGGAAAGAGAGAAGTTAGCTAATGGTTATTTTTCTTATCCTTTTGGATAAGCAACACTACTTTAATCGTGGAAAGTAGGACAAGAGCACAGCCCAGTGCAAATGAAATAGTTGTTTTAACTATGGTGCTAATAAATTGGAGAAAAGCAAGGATATACACTGAATTTACTACATCTGAACTTTGAAGTGTATCACAGATCTGCAGGGAAATTGGATTTCAGATTATTTAATTGTCTTGAGTTCTAAGGTCATCTAAATCAGAGTCAAGTTGGGTATTTCAAGTCTTGTAACTGGTGTTCGGCAAATCCCTTACATCCTTCTCATCAGGTTATACCTTGCTCTACCTGAAATGAGACTTCTGGTTTACAGGACATTTAAGAAATCTTCCCTTTTTCTCCAACCCCTAGAGAAAAACTTGTTTTACAAGGAACTGCACCTGCTGCTTCGACTGCATGCTGATTTTGAAATTGGTAGCACATCACTAGCACATCTGTCCATTAGATCATTAAGTTTCTTACTTCCTGTATTCTCAGATTAAATATTTAAAGTACTGCCATGCTTAAGTCTCCTTGCAGGTTTCTTCTTTGGGAATTGGAATCGATGATCCTTATGGGTCCTGAGATACTCTGTGATTCTTTGGTATCGGTGTACCTAAGATACAGGATTCCTGCCTTCGTGTTCCTCTGTAGTATATAACTCTCTGCATTTGTTTGGGCTTTGTAAATGCTGTTTGCAGTTAAGCCACAAAATACCTGCTTTCACAGTGGCTTACACTATTTACACACTTGTTTGTTTCACTGTTTTATTAAGTCACAATTCTTTTTTTATGCGAACATAGTTTTTCATTTCCTCTACAGTGTAAGAAAGCTTTAAATAAAATCAAACCCTTTTTTGCTTACTGGAATGCCTGCCTCTCCTTTTAGGGCAGTGTAAAACACTCTTACTATGACTAGGAATCATATCTTGTGGTAGTATCCCATGCACTTTCTAATACTTCAAATTAGTCTGAAACCCAGTCCTAAGTGGCAGCCTGTATATGGAAGAGGTGCATAGCAGCAAGCAGTGGAGGAAAATGCTTGGCCAGCTCTGCCACAGTTCCCGCTACAATGTTATTGTTCTTTGAAAGGGGCCAGAGCCCAGTGAGAACATTCTCTGCAGGAACGTGATTTGAATCACAGAACTCTGGAAGGAACCTTGTGTTGACTCCTGTGCTAAGATGTGCGATATACAGCGGTGATTTGCTGCTGGCTCTGCCTGCTTCCTGGGTCACGTAATAGTACTTGTCTTTTTAAACTATTAATACTTTCTAACCTTGTGACCATACAAGTTTTCTGAGTATGTGGTCTCTCTTCTGCTCTGGTCCCAGTTACACCCAGTTACTCAGGACTTTGGATCTACCTGTACCTTTTTTCCTCCAAATCTTGGATGGAGCTGACTCCATCTGGAAACTCTGCATTGAAAATAAATAAGGAATGGGTTTTCCTAAGAACTTCATCCATGACTTTATTATAGTTTCCCTTAAGTCCACGCTAGGTCTCCCTGGGGGTTGATAAGCCAAATGAGGTCCCTATTGAGAGGACATTCATGCAGCCCTACCTGAAGTGTCTAGTTGCTTGAGGCCCTGTAGATATGAGAGAGGCATCTTGAGACAGTGTTCAGGTGTGATAAATCCTGCTTTGAAACTGCCCACCTTTTCACATCAGCAGTACAAGGAGCTTGGACTAAACTTTGTCCTAACTTAGGTGCCTTAGGTGGGTGCCAGAGGTGAGTTGGACTGTCTGCCCCTCAACCTTTCAAAAACTCCATCTGAAAAATGCGTGTCTCTTTCTTAACAACATCCAGGCATTTATTTTGACCCTTTTTAAAACTGAATCCTCATGGTTTTTTGGCTGTGAAGGCAGTACTTATGCAACTGCTCCACATCCTTTGGTGTATTTATCATTTCATAGTTGATAAGGTACTACTAAGCCAGAGCCTTACCCACATGCACAAAAAATAAGCATGGCTTATTTTGCTGGAGGTACACTCACTCTTAAACATCGTGATGAATTAGGCCTATATTAATTGTACCAATCTCCTGCCTCAAAATGCTTTTGTTTTTTTCTGATAACTGCAGAAAACTCCAGATAGCTCTCTGCCAGCTGCTTCTGCCTCCACTCTTATCTGTTCAGATATGGGACCACTATTTAACTACAGTTAATTGCAAGTCTGGCTTTCAGGTAGTGGTAGTCACCCTGATCGAAGTACAAAATTACTTGCTTTTCTTTTTTTTTTTTTCCTTTCATTAGGAGTCCAGCTTTATTATGCAACATGAGCTTTGTGTAGGAGGGCCTTCAGAGGAGCCTCTCCAGGGCAGAATGGAGAGTGGGGCTGTGAAGGTCCCCTCTTCTTTCACCATCATCACAGTATGTAGGAAAGTCCGTTCTGCATTATGCAGAGCCCACGTGCGGGCCCACACCTAAAGTACTGGCATCAGTCTCTCACTTTCTGAGCAATATGGTGGCAATTTTTTTTTTTTTTAAATAAGGTTTGGCTTTCATAGAAGATGACCCAGATGCTGTTAGTTACAATAGTAGCAGTTGAAACAACTACTTGAAAAAAACATTTATTGTGAGGCATATTTTGTATACCATTTATGGAAAGGTAGGAGAGCTTGTCAAAATACACAAAGATAATTATTAAAGGATAATAAAATATATCTGTTAGCTGCTTTTGTAAATCATTGAGTGCAATATATTATTATAATAACAACTCTGGCGATTTAGACTTCTTCATATTGTCTCCTGGGAACTTTCCAAAACTTTATTCTCGTTCTTGTGAGTCTTGGGAGATAAGCTAGAGAATACTTGTCAGATTCCCTGCTGACTTAATAAATATAAAACAAAGATATGTAGTCCATCTTCAGATTCAGGTTGTATTAAATACAGGATTTCTCTGTAAACTGACTGTGTGTGTAAAACTGTCTCCACAAAATCAAAGGCTGTATTTAAGCCCTCAGAGAAATCCTGCTGACTAGTTTTTCTCCATTGTTAATTTCAATACTTTTAATATATTTCTTTTTCTTGGCAACCAAAAACATGAAACCCTTTAATCATTAACTCAGTGTTAGAGAAAATTTTAAAATAACGGTAGTACAGTCAAGAGCATAAATGGAGCCAATTTATTCAGGGCACTTTAGAGTCCTAATAATAGGCGTTGTTTTACATCTGTTTTTATAATACACTGTAAGTTACTGTATGTAACTTAATTTTTCACAATTTATCTGCATTCTTTATAATCTTTTTTATGATTGTCTTTACGTCATCTTCAGCAGAGGTAATAGTTGATCTCCTAGCCTACCTGAAAACCTTTAGCAAAGCTGCTGTTACCTCTCTACAGGTCAAAGAGATTGTGGCGCAGCACACTAAAGAGTGGTCTGAGATGATCAATACGCACAGTGCCGAAGAGCAAGAAATCCGTGATTTACACTTGAACCAACAGTGTGAACTACTGAAGAAACTGCTGATGAATGCTCATGAACAACAAACCCAGCAGCTAAAATTTTCACACGACAGGTGAGCAGGGCAGTGCTACCTCATACTAAGGGTTGGTTTATGTCTGCTTTGTATAATGTTGTAGTTTCTTGTGGTGATAGCTCCTGTACTGCTGTCAAAGATAGCAGGCTGTATGCATGGTAGAAGTTAAAGAAGTGATCATACAGGGTTTAGATAGATGCAGGAATGAGCTTCTTAGCTGGTTTAGATTATCTGATTTTCATTAAAGGTACTGGATGTGATAAAGTGGTGGTAGTTTGCATCAACTTCAATTCAGAGGCTGGCAACCAAGAAGTATCAAATATGGAAATATCCTTTGTTTTCGCTAGCTGCTGCGGACAGGTTTTTATAGCATTGGTCATTGTAAGAAAGATCCTTGAAAAGTAAAATAATAAAAACAACGGGTAGGAGGATAACCTGCATTAGACTGACGTATTATCTTCATACAATACCCTGTTGTAATTGCTGGGAATACAGAAGATACTGCATGATGCTACTGTCTTGTTGCTTTTGTAATTAACTAACCTGCCCGTTTGAAATTAAGTAATATTAAATACATATCGTATCCACAGTGTTAAAAATGGCAGTAAGTAAAGGAATCATTTTTTATGCTATGATCTATTATGCAAAGCAGCCTAAAAGCATATGAATGCAAAATATGTGTGTACATACATCATAGAATCATAGAATCATATATATTAATACATATATATTAATATGTAATTGTCTTCTGCATCTTTCCCATAAAAAGCATGAGGATAAATGAATAAATAAATCAGATTTGAAGAAGGACTTTAAATGATTTTTTTAAATTCCTGAGTGTAAAACCAGCTTACCTTTGCATCAGAGAGAACACATGCTGGGACCTGCAAGGTTTCCATCCAACAGAGAATTGTCCCAGCAAAAGCCTTTTAGTGAGCTCATCTTTATGTTAATCTCTGTGTTAACCCATGTATTCAAGCTTTCCTGCAATAAAAAATGCAGGAAAAATACAGTCAAAAATGAAGTCCAAAAATTGGTAAATTAAAATACAAATGCATCATTCAAAAAATACTAGACAGGGGAAGGTGCAGTCCTTGGTACTGTATCTCTAAATCATACCTGACTGCATCAGCCCAGAGAAACACCATCACATCATTTTTAAGTGTCCTATTTTCTGTCCTATTTTAAATTTATTACAGTGCTTAGATGATAATTTACCAATGTATAGCCTGTGAAATAAAACTTTCCCCCTCTTTTTTTAACCTTTCTGGTAGTAAGTTTTTGTATTCTTTTCTGTACATATTTTCCTATTCTTGTAACTTTGCCAAAGGCTGTCATTGTAGGCAAGCTATTATATCTACACTAGGACAAGGTTTGAGGGTTTTTTAAGCTTTTTGTCTCATAGTTTTTGTCTTTGGGTTTATAATTTCTTTAGCTCTGCATTGTGTAAACAGCCCTATATTGTTTATTCTAAATGGTTCTTACATTCTTATTAATAGGTCTTGCTCTCTTATTAGAAACCATTTGTGTTCAGTCCTTGTATTGTTCTATTTTCAGAGCTACTGAGAACCACACCTCAAAATGATCCTGATAGATACCAAGAAATTTTTCTTCTCAACTGTCCTAGGAGTAAAAACCTTCAAAATTCTTTCTGCTTTATGCATTGCAATTAGTGTGTTTCTGCTTATTTGGGAATTTGTGTGTAACCCCCAAATGTGCAGACTGGGGACTTCCCTGTTTAAAACAAATTTAAGACTGTGTCTGAATCTATGAATATTTTAGAAGAATTTGGAATGTGAAATATTGAAATGTGAATAATAATGCCCCAAAGAGACTACACTTCATTTGTAAACTTTTTTACAGAATATTTTGAGTTTCTTTATATAGGTGTATCTAATAGCTGAGACAACTCAGGTAACCATAGAAAAAAAGGATCTATCTGAGAGCAGTGTGGGGAATGGCCCATGCTCTCAGCATACTGTTCTCACCGCTTCGCTCCCTCTGAGCTGAGGTAATGAGTTAGCTATCACACCAGAGGACGCGAGGTAGTAGGAAATATCAATAATCTAACGTGATGTAGTTATCTGCTGTAGGTTAGATACTTTCCCTCCATGTGCAGTATAAAAAGCAATTACAGTTTGTGCTTTGAGCTCATTTAAAAACAAAGCAGAAGACAGCAGATACTACTAAAAGTCTGAAGCTTACTGAACTGTGGGGTGCTCTGGTGGCCCCCTGCCTCCCCACACTGGGTTAGCTTGACTGGCTTGGATGTAGTGAGCTTGCAGCGTTTCAGAAATTGGGGATGTGAAGCTGTTATTCACAAGCATTATGTGCTCCAGATAAAATAACATGAGAGAGGGTGAGAAAAAAATTTTTGGTTTTTTTAATAGAAAAAGAGATTTCTAGTAATTCAAACAATACTGGTGACATAAAATAATATGTTAATACATGTTAATGTCATCTAAATAGATGTATAAATTCCAAGGATAGACTTACATGCTTAAGTATCTCTTTGAAAGACAGATTTGTATAAATTTCCGAGTTGCAGTCAGCATGAGACAGCAGGAAATCACCAGTTCAATCTTGCAACTCATGTGCCATGTTTTTTCAGAATCCTTTTTTTTCTTTACCATCCTGCTGTTACCTACTTCTTCCAGTTAACTCTGGGTACAGGCATCACCACCACTTGTGAGCAGGAGGGAGTTGTGTCACGGTTGCAGAATGCTGCCAGCCAGGGCAGCACGGGCTGAATGTGAGACTCAATGTGAAGCCCCATGCGGGGCAGTTGAGCAGTGAACCGACACTAGAACTTTAGCCCCATCTTTGAGAAGCGCTATTTTAGAAACAAGGAGTGGTCCCTACAAGTGCTTCTCGGTGATTTTAAAAGGAAGATAGGATTTTTCATTTCATCTGTTAATAACGGCTTTTATTCATTGCAAGCAGTGCAAACCCAACACATCCAGAAAGACCCAACAGCAGTGCAACTCAGAGCTAGAGTATACTTCGCAGAATAAACAGTTGCATATAGATGTGTTGGCTCTTTCAGCTATATCCATGGCCAAAGCCTCATTTTGAAATCATCAGTGATGCACAGTAGTCCTCTAATCCTCTTAACTTCTTTCTCTTTAAAATTATATCTGATGCAAATAGGCTAAATCAGTTTGAACACCTACACTTAACTTTTTTCATATCCTTGAGCACAGTGATAAATTATTTCAGTACTGCTCTTAAGGTACTATGCTTGAAAATTACTTCAAATTCAGTATAGAAAATGAAAGCTTTTATTTGGAGAAAGGACTGCTGGAATGAAATGTGCTCTTGACACAACATTTTTTTAGAACCCAGTCTCAGCCTTTGCTGTGATACCACTGTTTTTAAATCTGTAAATCTGTATTCAGGAAATGTTTCACCTTATGAACTCTTGGAGGCAAAAAAAAAAAAAAAAAGCACTGCTTTTCTTTAATAAAAATTTTAAACTGTGGAAAATGTAAGTCATGGAACAAAGTTTCCTCACGCTACTTAATGATTAATGTATATTAGAGATGAAAGCAAGCTAAAAAAGATTCAGTGACAACATTTCATTAAATTAAACACTGTTATGTGCCACACCCCTCCTCTTCTGTGTATACAAAATACTTAGAATTTTGGGTTAATAAGTACAATAATTGTTTAGCACTCTACTTAAGATCATGTCCAGAAAAAGAGACTGAGGCACTGCCTTGGCTTGCGACAGGTAACTTTTAGATGCTTATGCACTACTGGGGACTTTACAATCCGTTATTTGCTGCCTAATTTCCATATATAATTCCTGTTTAAATAAGCACTTAAGATTGGGAGCTGCAAGTGCTGGAATGCTAAGCAGGCAGAAAGCAAGAGCTAGCCTTCAGGGACAGCCTTTTTGGAGCTTGGCTGGCTTATCCAGAGTGACAAAAAGCCTTCTGCTCACTCACAGTTCATAAGCCATTTCTGAAAGTCAGCATCTGTGCTGTTACTCCCAACAAAGAATCACAATCTTTTTTTCTTTGCTCAAATTGTGTAAGGTCTACCCAAAGCAAGGCAATTTTCATATGGTTTGTTCTTCTTCCTTAGTGCTTCAAGGACAAAATTAACCAGAGTGTAGAATAATATCAGGAAACCAACCTCAACAACAATTGCATCTTAAGCATTAATGACTTTGTTTGGTTTTGCCTAGGGAAAGCAAGGAAATGCGTGCCAACCAGGCCAAAATATCTATGGAGAACAGCAAAGCCATAAGCCAAGACAAATCTATCAAAAATAAAGCTGAAAGAGAGAGGTAAGTATCAGATCTCCTGTCTTAAGAAGTAAAAAAATGGTGTCAAAGGCTGACAGGTGAACTCATGGATTAATTCTGTTAAAACTGTGCTTTTATGTATGGCAACTATGTCTAATGATTGTGCTGAATATATTTTTAGATTAATATTTTAGGAAAAATGTTGCTTTTCACATATTTATTCTTTTAATGAATGTAATGCCCTTATCAGGGAAATAAAAAGGTTCTTTATACTCATCAGCTGTGACTGGTGTAGGTCTAATCACACTATTAAATTGAAACCATCTGTAAGAGTTTTAATGATTGTACTTAAAGTGCATTACACACTTTTGCTGTTGCTTTTTAAATGAAATTAGGGTTATACTGAAAAGTGATTCTGAGGTTGGTTCCAGCTGAAGTTACAATAACTGGAGAGGCAGCATCACTAAAAACACAGGAGGTGGTACCAATGAAAGACTTTCTCCTTCATCTACTGATAACAGAGGAGGGGTGGAACAGAAGGAAGGAGTGCTAAAAGTAATGATAATCAGTAGAAAGGGTGACAAAAGATAGGAGTGGAGAAGCAGGAGATGTACTTCACAACAGCACACGTTGCTGTTGTGTGTTGCAGTTCAGTTCAGGAGTTGCTTCTCCACTCCTGAACTGAACTACAGCTCTCTCCCTTGTTACATGCTGGCATTGGACACCTGGCCAGCATCCAGGTTCAGCAAACGAAGGGCCCTGCTGCACTTGCAGAAGTGGGTTATTCACAGCCCGTTTTGGGGTGGCAGCCTTAATTGACTTGAGAGGCTAGAAAGAGACTTGCTAGTACCATCTGCTGAGACTTTTTGTAGGATTGATCTGCATTATAGCTATTTTGTTTTTTCTATTTATCCTAAAAATTTCCAAATAAATAGATAAAAGCAGAGTCTACATGATGATGTCTCATAAGCCTTCAAGATTTCCCCTTCATTTTGGGCTTGCCATCTGGCTCACTCTTT